ATTTATTTATGGGTCCAGCTCCTCAACAGAGCTCTCTACCCGACTCAGGCCAAGTAGGGGCTTCTAAAAACGCAGGGAGACCTTACTGAGATATATGCAGAAAGCCTCATTTCATTCAATGATGACTGGTTTAAAAGAGGCAGCACAGTAGAGAGGGTCAAACTGTAGGCTGTAGAACCATATTGCCTGGATTTAAATCTAGTGCAAAGTTACATACTGGGAGGAAGAGACTTAAAATGTCTCAGTTTCTTCAGCTGCATTAGGACAGTCGCATGTAACTCATGTGGCTGATGTGAGGATTAAATGAGTCAGTACATGTTAAAACAGTCTCAGGCATACAGTGAGCTCTTAATCACTGTTAGCTATTATTAGCATATTACTACCAAGTACAGCATAGGTGGGGAGGTGGGGAGAGGAAAAAAGCATACTAAGGCTGCCTCTTTCCTCAAGGAGTTCGACTTAAAGGGAGAAACCAATTATTTGATTATTATTCTATACAGTGGCACTATCTAACAGCAATATAATACAAGCCACAAATGCAGTTTTAAAGTTTCCTAGAGGGCCTCCCTGGTGGCGCAGCAGTTGAGCGCTGGGTTGCGAAGCTGCCCGCAGCCTCTGCAGCGCCGGTTCGATCCCCGGCTGCCAGGTGAGGGTCCCACATGGTGCGCAGACCTCTCCTGCCGCCCGCTGCTCCCCTCAGCAGTGTATTTCGTCAGTCTGCCTGTTCTGCTCTCCGCTCTGGTGAATTCTCTCACCCTCCCGTGCTTCTGACTTTGTATAAATAAATAAATAAATCTTTAAAAAAAAAAAAGTTTCCTAGAAGCCATATTTAAATGATAAAAATAAGTAAAACTTATCCAATATATACAAAAGCTTCTTTCAACACACTATCAATATACACACAAATATATAACTTGTTATATTTCCCATTCTTCTTTTGCTCTGCATCTCCAAAATGTAGTGTGCATTTTACACTTACCATTTGGACTAGTCATATTTCAAGTACCCTACAGGTAGAGTACTTCAAGGACTCTACATATTTCAAGTACTCATTGTGGCCAGCAGTTTCTGTAAGGGGCAGTGAAGTTCTATCAAGGAATAATACTCTCAGGGTGAGCTTTAAGACTGAGTCTGTCCTGAGATGATTCATTCTCCAACTCCGTGGTGCCCCATCTCTCAGTGAGCTTAAAACCCGGGGGGGGATGCTAATAATGATCAGGCAACCACGATGAAGTGGGCATAAAAGGACTCATTCCAAACTGCCACAGGGATAACATATGTGCCTATCCTAGGTAGGTCCAGAGAGAAAACCAATTTTTCAAAATTCTTATTTTTGAAAATACTTCCGAGGTGCAGAGAAAAAAAACAAGCAAACAGGGAATGATTGGTTTTTGAAAACTTTTGAGTACTCTGTGCCAAGAAAAAGACTGCAGAAGGCAATGTCATCCTTCAGGGGAGAGGAAATCCAAGGATCCCCGATGGGAAATCTACTACGGAGCGTGTGTGGGTGGTCTGTGACGCGGGGGAGGAAGGCTGGCAAGCAACTTCCACTCTCAAGAAAGCAGCATGGAAGATCCGCGGCTCCCAGGCCATGTACTCCAGGCAGACTTCCCCTCCGCTACGGGAAGTCGAGCGTCCTGAGGGAGCCCGCGGGCCTCCCACAAGACAAAGTTGGGCGACGGAGACGGGTGGGGGCGGGGGACACGGGGATGCAACCCCGAGAGGGAACGGAGCCGAGCTCCGGGCTCTGGGTCCTCGCGGGGTCTCCAGGTGGGGCGCAAGGAGCTGACGCTGATCCCCTAGAAGTGGCCCCGAAGAAGGGGTGACCGACTGGCGAGAAGACCTAAGGGCGCCTGGCGGTGCGCGAGCTGCGCTCCGGCCTTCGCGGTGCTGGAGACGCGCGGCAGAAGCGGGGTGCCAGGGGCCTCCGGGGTCCCCGGGGGGCGCCGCCTCGCCGGGCTCGGGTCCAGGGCTCCGGCAGCGCCCTCGCCCGGGGGGCCGGCGCTGGAGGGACCCCGCGTCCCAGAGGGGCGGCTTCCCGGGACAACCCCCTCCCCGCACCAGGCGGGCCGCGGGCCTGGTCGTTCCAGCGCCTTGGCAGGGCGGGTGCAGGCCCCGGACTCACCGCGCGGCTTCGGCCAAGGCCTCAGCTGCCGCCGCCAGCGCCGGCACCGCCGCTTCAGGCCCCCGGCCCCACCGCCCGCCTTCCCCTCTGTCCTCTATGCCGGGCGGGAAGGAGGGCGGGCTCCCAGCCCTGAGGGCCAATGGACTGGCGTAAGAAGCAGATGGACTGGCACACCGACCAATAGTAGTGAAGGAGAAGTGAGGCTTCGGGACCCGGCTTCCCTGGGGGGGCGGAGACTGTTCAAATAGACAAACCGGGCGGCCAGTGGCAGGCGAAAGGAGGCTTAGCCCAGCCCAGGAGAACCAATCGGGCGCGAGTTGACTTGGGTCACTTCCACGCACACATCCGGTGCGCCGCTGCTATCCGTCCCCTCGGCTCCGGGGCTGCGGCCGGGGAGTCCGCTACGTGGGTGCCGCGCCGGGGCGCTGGGAGTTGGGGGGCGGAGGTCGCGGCCCGCCCAGTTTAATTCTGACTTCGGAGCGTGAGCCGCGCCGGCGCCCTGTCGTTACTGGAGTAAAAGCCTTTTCGGGCCAGCGCTGCCGATGAGCCCGTGATTTCTCTAAAACTAAGATGCATTTGAAAGCGTAGCTACATTTTCTCAGTTTTCCAAAATTACCTAGTTTACAAGATCATTCGCGAGAAACCATAGCCAAGTTTTAACTAAATGAGCTACTCCTAATTTCAGAGCAACATCATTAGAAACAGCCTGTCAAAAAATCAATTGCAGAAATGCAATTTGACTACATCTCAAATACAGTGTTCATTGTGACATAGAAAATTCCGAACTATCTCACGATGGGAGTCTGATCAAATAAAATATGATGCATTCATATTAAGGAAACCTTTTACAGTCATTAATAATGATAATGGAGCTGAATATTTACTTGAAAGGAAGAGCGTTCACATTTGCTTTTAGAAATTGGCTATACAACAATGTAAGTGTAACTACAAAAATAACCCATGGTTCTTGTGTGTCTATATTCACAAGGGTAAAATACACAATTACGATGTCACGGGATTTTGGGAAGGTGTATTTTTTCCTTTATACGTTACCTTTAATTAGTTATGTAATAAAAAGAAAACTTTGTTGAAGAAATGGAAGTTTCCAGAAGTCTTAAGCTGCCAAATTAACAAAGTTCGGTCATATTCTATGGCTAACAAAATACTTTGGAAGAGTTTTACAAATATATACTTATTGTTACTACATTTCATTGCTTTGATTCTAATCTGAAATCACTGTCCTCCGAGTTCCACATTTTTCAGGTGTGTTCAACATCAGTCCTGTGTACAAATATGCATGTGTTATAATTTTCATTGATATAAAGGAAGCGTAGCACACAATTTGTAAATTATAGTAATAAAATACACACTATTCTTTCTAGTAAATTCCACACAGCTAATTGCCTCTCAGTATACTTTCTTTGATATTGTACAGCCTCCCTGGGTTGCCTGTTGTTCTGACATGAACATGGGCCTATATTTCCTTTTATGTAAATGTATAAGAGGAAAAGGAAACTGTCAAGAGATGTTTGAGCTTCACCAGTTTGTTAATGAATGAACGGCTTCTTGCTAAATTGGATAACAATTTTCCAATACTAGGAGAATATTTTCTTGATTTTTTTCCCTGCTATTCACAACATAATGGCTACAGAGCTGACACACTTTTAAGTTTAATCGGCATTATGAACTTTTACTCATTACTTTCTTTAATCTAGATGATCCTCAAAACAATCAGCAAGCATTTTGCTGGTTTGGCTGGCATAAGTTTCACTCCCATGGTGGTAGATTTCAAGCAACCAACAGATGTCACTGAATGAAAAGTTGGGAAGAAATGAGCAGTAGCACATCATTACAGTGTTTCCACAATGCGGATACAATAAGCCTGATATCTGAAGAGCATAAATGGTCAAATGCAGCAAGATAATTAGGAAGTAATGAGTTTTGAGTATTTATTATCTTTGTTTTTAATTTATCTAACTGTATGTTTGTATAATTTATTTTTTAATAGTGCTTAATGATCTGTTCACAAAATTCCAAAAAAAAAATAACAATAGGCTCTCTCCATGTAGAAGGAGCTACAGATAGAGACTAGACGCTTCCATAAGGCAGGCAATGGAGACACTGAGCTGGCCATCTGAGGGGCCAGGGGCGTCTTATAAGCATAAATAAACAAACTAGAGAATGGATAAAAAAGCAGCAAGGGCAATATATGGCATGTGGTAGTTGCACACACACACACACAAAATGCGGGCATTATTGCTGTGATTACTAGCTACTGATTTCTTAGCTATCATTTTCCATTTCAGGCCTTCAATCTTCCCATTTAAAAAGGGGGGGATGACTATGCTTTTCTTACCACTCTCAGCGCACTCCTTAGCTTTTGTCCATTTTGTTTGCGGCAGAGCACAATCGTAGGCGCTCAGGAATTGTGTGTTGCATACAGTAGGCGCTCAATAAATGCTCGTTGCAGGAAAAAACATGACCGAGTCCCATTTCGGCGCGGGAAAGCTGGTCGGAGAGCGACCCTCGCGAGGGCCAGTCAGGCTGCTTTCGGAAAAACCGGGGCGTGGCTGCGGGGCCCCGCGCGGGCGGGCGGGCGAGGCGCTGAGCCCCAAGGTCGCGGCGCCGCCCCGGCCCGCGCCCCCGGCCCGGCCCGGCCGCGCCCGCAGCCGCTGTTTCCGGCGGGCCTCCAGAGGCGGGCGCACAACATGGCGGCCCCGGCAGCGCGGGGGACGCGGCCGCAGCTCGGCTCCGGGCTGTAGTGTGGGGCTGGGGGCCGCCGTCAGGCAGCGCCTCGGTGACGGGAGCGCCGGGGGCCGCCGCCGGGCCTCGTGGGGGGCCCGGCCCGCCGGCTTCTGCCCCGCGCGCCCCAGCCCTGCCCCTGGGCGCCCCTGAAGGTCAAGTCTGGCCGCCCTCGCCTGGACCCTCCTCGCCCCGGGGCGGCCGCCCTTCCGAGGGTGGCTCACGGGCGCGTGGCCTTCAGCCACGTGCAGCCTCCATGGCGGCCTCGCAGGGTCCGGGGGAGAAGATTAGCATCCAGGCCGGAGAGACAGCCCAGGCCGGGGACGGGGACCCGCTGGGAAGCGACTGTCCAGAGCCAGACTGGCCGCCCCCGCGCTCCTGGAGACAGAAGTGCGCCTCCTACGTGCTCGCCCTGAGGCCCTGGAGTTTTAGTGCTTCGCTCACCCCGGTGGCCCTGGGCAGTGCCCTGGCCTACAGATTCCAGGGTGTCCTGGACCCCAGGCTGTTGGTGGGTTGTGCCGTGGCTGTCCTGGCTGTGCACGGGGCTGGCAATTTGGTCAACACGTACTATGACTTTTCCAAGGGCATTGACCACAAAAAGAGCGATGACAGGACCCTGGTGGACAGAATCTTGGAGCCCCAGGATGTCGTGCGGTTTGGCGTCTTCCTGTACACCTTGGGCTGTGTCTGTGCCGCTTGCCTCTACTACCTGTCCCCTCTGAAGTTGGAGCATTTGGCTCTCATCTACTTTGGAGGCCTGTCGAGCTCCTTTCTCTACACAGGAGGTAAGAACTGGCAGCTTTCCCTGCTGCAGGTCTTCGTTGCATGTGCTGGAAACTGCTGCTTTCCTGCGGGTGGTAGGGCTAGAGGGGGCAGAGACTTTTCTGAGTAATCTACTTTACACTCGGCACACATGGGTCTTGTGGAAGGTTTGGAAACCGTAGGGAGTTGAGAAGATCCTGGTTTGGCTCATACACTAAGAATGGCTTGTGTGTGGAAGGTATCTAGTTTCTTTGGTTGGTCATACCTTATTATAAGTTTCACATTTTAGTGGAATTAAATTTGAAGGGCTCAAAACAAAGCATAGTTACTTTCAGTTATTTTGCTAGGGACTCCTAGCAGCAGGCTGATGATGGTGATGGACAGGGGGTTCAGCTGCGTATTGAGCACCTGTCAGGCACTGTTCTATGTGAACCCTGCAGATCCCTGCCCCTGTGGGCATTATTTTATATGTGGTGAAGAGAGAGAGAAAGTAGAAATAGTCAATTATAGTTAGGATGACCAATTCTGTTGGGTCTGGGTGTGTTCCAGGATGTGGGACTTTGGGTGCCATAACCAGGAAAGCACTAGTGAGTCAGGAAGAGTTGGCCCCTGGTTAAAAAGGTGGAGCTGTGGGGAAAGAAAGTAGGAAAAGGGAGGAGGGCACAGCTGACTATTTAAAGTAGCTTGATGAGGGTCAGCTCAGCGAAAGGTGACCCGTGAGCCAAGATTGAGGGAGGTCAGTGGGTAAGTGCATATCTGGACGAAGAGTGTTCCAGATCTTGGAACCGCAAAGGCCTTGGCAGGAGTGTGCCTGAAAAGCTTGAAGAACAGCGCAGAGTCTCGCCTGGCAATGAGGAAGAAAGTGAAAGGAGGCAAAGTAAGAGACGTGTGCTTGGGAAGGGCAGAGAGGCACAAAGATTAGGTAGGCCAAAGAGTCACTCTGGTAAGATACTGAGATGGATAAAGGGCAGTGCAAGGCTAGAGGCAGGAAGATCACGTAGGAGGCTGCTGAGAAATTCAGGCAGGAGATGTTTTGGGGCTTGGACCAGGGCAGCCGTGGTAGAGAAGGGAAGCAGTGTCAGGTTCTGAGTGTATTTTGAAGGTGGACGGGTCTGCTGATGGAGGAGATGCGGGGCAGGAGAGAAACAGGAATGAAACCTATTCAAAGGTTTTGGCCCGAGTTACTGGACTAGTAGAGCAATGTCAAGGAGACAGAGAAGGCTGAAGATCGGTTTGGGGGGAGAAAATTGGGAAATGTGCTTGGGCACCTTAATGTGTTGGTCCAAGTGGAGCCGTCAAGTTGGTAGCTCAGGGCAGAGGTCTGGGCGGAACATGCAGATTGTCTGGGAGTCATGGGCACTAGCTCAAGTTCAACTGGGGGAGGTCACGGAAGGAGGGGGTGCTGAGAGAGACTGGAGGGGAGGCAGCACTGAGCCCTGGGGTACCCGGACATTAAGAGTGGGGAGCAGAGAAGCAAGAGGTAAAGGGAACTGAGAGGGCATCTGGAGGAGAAAGAAGAAAACAAGACTGGTGTCTCGGCAACCAACTGTCAGGAAGTTTGACTGAGAGAATGGCTGGGGTGTGTGGTAGAATGTGGAAGGCGAGGCAGAGGGAAGAGGCCTTCTCTGTGAAGGTGACGTTTAAACTAAGATCGAAGGATCAGGAGCCAGCCAGGGCCACAGTTGGGGTCTGATTCAGGTGCCAAATCCTTTGGGGCTGAAGGAATATCGACTGCAGATACCTCGAGCGGGGGAGAGGTTGGCATCTTACAGGATCTGCTGAGAGGTCAGGGTGATCAGGAGCGAGCCAGGGTACGGCTGGAGAAGCAGGAGCCAGATCTTTCTGGTTTGAGAAGCCGGAGCCAGATCTTTCTGGTTTCAAGGGCCCTCCCTCCTCTGCCGAATCCTCCTTACTCCCAACCTGCAGGCTCAGTTCTTGGACTCTGTTCTCCAGCTCCTTTTGCTCTTGGGGCGTCAGATGCCATCCACTAAGCTGGTGACTCCAGTTTGTACCTTGGGCCCAGGTTTCTCTCTAACTCCAGGCTCATCTGACTCCTTAGTCATTTCTCCCAAAGGTCTCACAGGCATCCAAAGCTCAACATTCCTGCAGTCAAATTCCTGATCATCTCCCCAAAGAAACCTGCTCTACCCAAACCTTCCCCATCTCACTCGATGGCAGTTTCTTCCTTTCAGTTCTTCACACTAAAAAATGACTTTTTTTCTTTTCCTTTTTTCAGTCTTTCATCAAATGCTGTTGACTCTACTCTCAAAATGCATTTGCAGTGTGATCCCTCCTCACCACCTCCTCACCACGACGCTCTCCCCTCTGCATTATTGGGGCCAGTTCTCCACTGATCTCTATGCACCCACACTTGTCCCTTTCAGGCTGCCCCAAATCAGCACAGAGCCCTCTGCAGCTATAGTGGCTCCCATCTGGTTCGGAGTCAAGGCCTCAGCCTTGACAGTGTCCCTCAGAGCCTTACACTGCCTGCCCACCCTCCACCCTTACCCAGCTCTCTGGCCTGCCCTCCTGCCTCCTCCCTGCTTCGCCCAGCGCTGCAGCCACACTGCCCTCCCGCCTTTCCCTGGAGCACGCCAGGCCTTCTCTTCAGGTCCTTGTAGACACGGTTTCCTCCCTTGGAACATTCTTCCACCTTCAACCTGTAGGATTCACTTTCGAACCACCTGTACCCATTTGCTCAAATGTAGCTATTCAGTGAGGTCTTGCTTTCTACTCTGTTTAAAAGCACAAAGCAATAAAACTATAGCAGCTAAAAAAAAAAAGTTCCGCACACACGTGTTCCCCCGCCCCCACAATACCTTCCCTGGTGCTCTTCTCTGCTTTCATTTTCTTCACAGCACATCCTCTCTCTCAACATGCCATAAAAAGCACTTTGTTAATTATCTTCCCCCTGGCCCTTTGAGCTCCTGGGGTTTGCTCTCTGCAAGAACGGTGCGTGGCATTTGGTCCATACTTAATATTCACTGAGGGAACAAATGGGGGGAACTTGCAGTGTACCCAGCAAAGTAGTGACATCTGATTTATGGGTTTTCTTTGTAACATTGACTTTGGTTGATACATAATTGACTTACTGTGAAATGCGCAGATCTAAGTGTGACTGTGATGAATTCTGACACCTGCATACAGCTGTGCAGCCCTCGGCCTCCCTGAGAGTTCCCCCAAGGCTTCCTTGTGCGCCCCTGTCTGGAGGCAGCGCTGTCCTGATTCTCACATGGGTTGGTTTTGCCTCTCTTAGAAGGTGAGTAAATGGAGAACTCCTCGGCAGGTTTTTGAGGTTCCTCATGCTGTGCTGTGTCGTGGCTCCTCGTTATGCAGAGTAGGGGCCCCAGATGGACACGGCGTCGTCCGTTTATCTGCGGGCCTATTCAGCAGCATTTGGATGCTTCCCACGCTGGGCCTGTTATGCCCGAATGTCCACGGTCACGTCATCCGGTGGCCATTTGTGTTCATCTTTCTCGCATAGCTGCCGCGGACGGAGTTGCTGAGTCGTAGGGTAGATGGTGTTTAACTTCATGAGAAGCCACTGAAGTGTTTTCTGAAGTGGCGGCACTGTTGCCTTTCCTCCAGCCGCGAGAGCCCCAGGCGCCGCGCCTTGCCATTCAGGCTGCTGCGTGGCGCGCTGGGCCGCTGTCCACTGCGTGGAAAGTGCTCTTGAGCCAGGACGGGTTTCCTTAAGAGAAACTGCTTCTCTGATTCTGGGGAAGCACACAGACTTGAAGCCACATGTTGGATATATGGGATCCAGGGCTTCGTCCCAAGCACGTTGTCGTTCTCTTGCATCAGCTGACTCTAGGGGTTGTCAGACCTGGCTCACCCTCAGAGTGGGTTTACGGTGGGTTTTGTGGGGCGTCTTTGAGGTGAGGCTTGCCTTGCAGGCCTACGTTTCTGTTCAGCTTTGCTCACTTCAATTTTTGCCAGGTGACCTAAGGAGAGTTCGTGGGTTGGCTAGCCAAAGGTCAAGGCTGCGGGGCTGTAGTAGGGTGACCAAGCTCAGGGTGGCAGGCTGAGAGGCTCGGTGGCCTCTGGAGCCTCCCAGCCCCTCATGGATCTTTACTTTTTCTGGGCTCTCTCTGGCGTTCTCTTGTGGCCTTACCTCCCTGTAGTCACACGTCCTCCTGTAGCCGTCCTCTGAGTGACGCCGCCCTTCTAGCCCTGACCTCTGGGCTCAGGTGTGCACACTTATGCATGCGGGCACACTCATGCTCCAGGTGTCTGCCATTAGCGTGCCCTGGGCCCACGCTCCCAAGTGCCTTTTGCGTCAACACGATCAAGGCCCCCGGTGATGGCCACAGAGGCTAGCGACGTAAAGAGCCTGGTTCATTCACTTGCCCTCCAGGGGCTCTCGTGTGTTCCTCCATAGCCAGAATCCTGGAGTCTGCTTGGATAGCTGAGAGATCAGCAGGAGAGAGCGGGCAGCTGGTGGGCACTCTGGCCGATCTGTGCCCGGCTCTGCCCACCACAGATGGTACCGAAGCGCAGAGATGGCAGGCGGTGCTGCGCTCCTAGTTTAGCCCTGGAGCCCTGGAGCCTTCTGCTTGAAGCTTCCCCTCGAGGGCGTGTCCTCAGACACCCAATTATTCCACAGTCATTGGGGGAGGGCAGAGGTGGCTTGCTTTGTGGGTGTCAGAGGCCATGTGATTCCCAACTCTGGACGCTTCACCCTAAATAACCCAGAATCAGCTGGCACCCAAGAACCCCAGCTAGGTGGAGGGGTCGGCTAGTGCTGCGGGGGTAATTATTTTGCAGTGCATGAATGTATCAAATCACCACCTTGCCCACCTTCAGCGTTCATGTGTCATGTCAGTTGTGCCTCCTGGAAGCGGGGCCGGCCGCTAGCGTGAGGGGAGCTTGGGCCGGCTTCTCTTTGGCTGCCTGGCGTTAGTGCCTCCAAGGCCGTTCACTGTCCTTTGTTTTAGGGAGGTTAAAATACAACTGGGCACAGTCTTTTCTTCCTAATCCTGAGGTGCTGCCTTAGTAGTTTGGGTAGAGCTGGGGGTTTCCCAAGCCTCTGTAGCAGTATATGGGTCACCCCTTCTCGGGTGCTGCGCACCCATTCCATGCTGCCGCCCCTGTTTCAGTCTGAGGGAGAGATTTCCCCCAACCTCAGACCCCAATTCCAGGTGCTTGTTACTGTAGCTCTGTGTGCCTTCAGCCTTTGTGCCCAGCCTCCGGGAGCAGGCTAGAGCCCGACACGGGCCCCGGCCTCAGGGAACTTGGAGTTGGGGGGAAAGACAGTGAGTAATGCGTGATGAGCAGCGTGATGCAGTTTGTGGAAGTGGAGCCCGGTGCCAGGGAGCATATGACGTGGTCTGGAGGGGAATGAGGTCTCGGGTGAGGGAAGGCTGCCTTGAGGAATGGTCTTGAAAGTCTTGAAGGATGAGTGGGTTGTGGGGGTGGGGGGTGTCTGAAGACCCCGAGGGTCTGAAGGAAACGGGAGGAGGGGAGGGCAGGGCAGAGGGGAGCCAGGGGAAGGATCTGGGGCTTTAGCCAAGGACAGCTGCTTGATCAGGGTTTCAGGTGTGTTGGGAGGGGCTTGGTCACGCGGGTGTGTCTCAGGGTCTGGCTGCGTGTGGAGGTTAGCTTAGGAGTGGGGAGCGTCGTGGCTGTAACAGTGGAAGCTGAGGGGCCACTTAGGAGGATGTCCCAACATTCCAGGCTAAGATGAGCATGAGCAGGATTTGGGGCTGCCGTGAGGTGGGCATGGGAAGAGCCGGGCAGTTTGAAAGCGTGGAGTAGACAGGACTTGAAGTGGGTCAGCAGCACAGGAGGAGGGTTCGCCTCCCAGGCCTTGGAGAGGAGCAGCGGCATTAGGACTCCACTGCCTTAGCTCTTTTACTCATCATGTGGGTGCAGCTTTCTTTTGGTGGAGTTTGGGGACCCTGAAATGCCACCAAGATTCACTGGGGGTTTTCAGCCCGAAGGTGCCTCCAAAGGTTGCAGGAGGAGAAGCTGGAAGCTGGTGAGGGCGCTGAGGGGCTGACCTGACTGCTCTGCAGGCAGAAGCCATGTCATGTGGGGCTGCGGAGGGTGGGAAACCAAGACCTTCACAGGCTCATGGATTCTGAACCTGTGTGTGTGTGTGTGTGTGTCTGTCTGTCTGTCTGTCTGTCTCTCTCTGCTCTGTGTGTATGAGTGTTGGGGCACAGTGAGGAGGGAAACTTAGAAATGTGCCCTGCGGCCTCACTGGGTCCTCATGACCCAGCACAGGATAAGAAAGCAGATTTGCTGGGGGGCGTGGGGGGCGGGGTTCCAGCGACTAGCCACCCCCACAGTCTAAGCACTCGCTGTTCCCGCCAGAAGCGCCTGCTCCGGCCCGAGGAGCAGTCCCCGCGCTCCAGCCCCGGCTCTCATGCCCACTCTCTGGGTTTTCTGGCCCTAGGAATTGGATTCAAGTACGTGGCTCTGGGAGACCTCGTCATCCTCATCACCTTCGGCCCGCTGGCTGTGATGTTCGCCTACGCGGTCCAGGTGGGGTCCCTGGCCGTCTTCCCGCTGGTCTACGCCATCCCCCTGGCCCTCAGCACCGAGGCCATCCTCCACTGCAACAACACCAGGGACATGGAGTCGGACCGGGAGGCCGGCATCGTCACGCTCGCCATCCTCATCGGCCCCACCCTCTCCTACATGCTCTACAACACGCTGCTCTTCCTGCCCTACCTGATCTTCAGCATCCTGGCCACGCGCTGCAGCATCAGCCTGGCGCTGCCCCTGCTCACCATTCCCATGGCCTTTTCCCTGGAGAGGCAGTTCCGGAGCCAGACTTTCAGCAAACTGCCCCAGAAGACCGCCAAACTCAACCTCCTGCTGGGGCTTTTCTACGTCTTTGGCATCATCCTGGCCCCGGCGGGCAGTCTGCCCAGGCTCTGAGGGACCAGTGGCCGCCCCGCACCTGTTCCCCTTCCTCAGAACGTGCTGAAGGCAGCGTTTCTGAGGAAGGCCGGGGACTGGCGGGGGGGAGGGAGCTCAGGATGGCGTGTGAATACCCACCTTTAAAAATTCTTGTGATTGTAAAGATTATGTTTTGTTCCGTTTTTATGGGCAATCTTAAAAGCGCTCGGGTGTCGGAAGGGAAATTGACTGTTTCATTTATAATTGCCGCTAGAGGGCGTTGTCAGGTCACTTTGAAGTGGACTGAAAGGCCCAGTGTGAAGAGCCGCGGGCCTGGCCGCCTGTCCTAAGCCTGTTCCCCGGCCTTGCTGGGGGTGGAGTGTTTGCTGGGGCAGGAGTGTGTGGCGCCAGCCCCTCTGGCAGGGAGCACCGTCTCCTACTCAGAGCCCTTGCAGCCTGAAATACGCGGCTTGAAAGTCCCTCATTAACACCCCATCGTGGCTGGCTGCTGGCCTTTTTCCTGAATTCTGATTCAGAAGCTCTTGTCCATCACCCCTGCACTTATTGCCACCGTTGAGGAAGTGTCCAGTCCCGCTGCAGCAAGACGATCAGGCTGGGGATTCGGAAGGAGAAAGCCCACCCTGGAGGCAGCTGACAGAGCCACTCTGCTCTGGGTAGAAATTGGCAGGGTGGCAGGTCTCCCTTTGCAGGATCCGCTGGGGGTGGCAGGAAGGACTCCCAGCCCTTTCAGGAACCGTTAGGAGCTTAAAATTGTAGTGGCGTCGCTATCCCCCCAGCCCTGTCGCCTCCCCTCACGCTCCCTTCTGCCCTCCCTCCGTTTCTATCAGGTCCCCAGGGAGTGTCCCCCAGCCACAGAGCCAGACTGGGCTGTCAGGGACAGTCACTTTGCACAGAGACACGGGGCGGGTGGAGGCGGGCCAGCAGCTCCCCGGCGAAGGAATAGCCCGGCCTGCGAGGCCGCTGTGTCTTCCTTCCACCTTGACCGGGAGCGAATTGACCTTACTTCTTCCAGAGGCTCGGTTGTCGTGTAGAGTCTGCGCCCCGGGTGTTCCAGCGCTGCCCTTCTCTCCATGGCTGTGGAGTGTGGTTTCCAGGCTGGTGGCACCCAGTTGCACGTGGCCCAGAACTGAAACAGATAGAGACTGTGGTGATCATGCTTTTCTGCTGTGGTCCTAACCATTCTCACAGGTATTCCAGGTCTTGACCTGCCAAAAAATGATGTAAGAACTAGCCCTTAATCCATAAAATCAGGCTGTTTATGATCTGCCTCCCTGAGTTAAAATTGGTCAGCTGACTTGGAGAAAAAAACGTTTGGAAATTGCGAAAGTTCCTCTGAAGTTATAGGAAGTTTGTCTGCAGGGATCGGAAATCCTGGAATGTCCATCAGTGCCCGGTAACAAGGGATAGAAGGATGAAACCTCTGGCCTGCCCTGTCCCCAGCACCCTTTTGTTTCTCGGCCAGGCTGGTGGCATTTTGGTGCCCGTGGTGGTCCTGCCTTCAAAGAACAGCCCTTCTTGATCCCCATCGGAACAGACCATTCTCACATGGGGCTCGCCTGTGAGGCTGTGGGACCAAGCATTTCCTGTTCACAGACCAGACCCACCTTTGTGAACCCCCCACTTTGGGTTGGGGGCGTCAGCTTTGCACTGTGTCCTGGTGCAGATTTTAATGCACATTTATATATATAAATGTTTCTAAAAGGCCATATTTGGCATATTTGGTGCCAGGTTTTGTAGGCAGGTCACCATAATTTGTATTACACCCCCTGGTTCAATGAAGGGTTCCTTTAGCCTTGTTAATAAAAAAACAAACTTCATTTTGGTGTGGCTTCCGGTTTGTCTGCTTCCCTCCTTCTTCGTGTCTGGTTGTGGACTGTAATTCATACATCTCGGAAGACCAGGGCAGGGGCTTTGGGACATTCGGGAGTGGACAGTGGCGTGATCTTTGATGCTGTGTTTGAATGGGGTTTGATCAGGCTTAGGGAGCCCTTAGAAAAGGCAATAGGACCGTGCAGCCAGTGTGGGTCAGTGTGGCGGCCAGATGCACCTGTTTCCTCCTGTTCTTCTGCTTTGCCTTTCCCTCGGTAGTGCCACTGAGCTGATGGGTTAAGGGCACGCAGTAGGTGGAGCCCATTTGGGCTTCAGCCAGGTATTTGACACAAATCCTTATGAACAAAGCAGGGGTGTGGGGCATGGATGGCAGTCTAGATGAATTTGTGGGAGAGACTGAGGCGGTCAATGACAGCCAGGAAGGAAGCCTTTAGCCTCAGGTATCAGCCTGCCCTCTGCCCTCTGCCCAGCCAGACTCCACACTCTCTATAAATGCCTAGAATCGGGCAGCCACCTGGCAGGGTTTGTAAACCTTGGAGGAAGCACTTATAAAACGACAAATCAAAAGGGTCAAAGGGAAAATTGAATAAATATAAAGCAATAAATATAAAGCTGGGGTTTGCAGAATCAACTGTACAACATCGGGAGGGGAAGACCATGGCGTGACCACAGGAGATGTGGGCAGGAATTTTCCCGACAGTTCAGGTCGGCATCCTATGCCTTTGTCAGTCAGATTTAGTTGGCTCCTAGGGGTGGCTGGAAATTCAGGCTCAGTCACCTCTTGGCCTCCTCTTATCCCTCAAGGATCACTCGGGACTCCTGGGCCTTGGTGGGGCACAAGCCAGGGATGTTGGCTGGGCCTGAGCGCCACTCGCTTACTATTTGTAAGTTCTCTGCCACTTCATGCTGAGGTTCAGCCCTGGAATCTTAGATCAGGAAGAACATGCTAGTCATTAGAAGAAGCAGATGTCTGAGTGCCTTGTGGGCACTGAGTTCCCTGCGACTAGAGGCATTCAAGCAAAAGGATGCGTCCTTGTCGGGGGTATTGACACGAAGAGTTGGTCATCAGGGGTGATGAGGAGACTTCCAGGGCCTTCCATTCTGTGACGTGGCTATTGTGTTACGACGGGATTTCTTCCAGACCTGCCCTGGGCTGGGAGCACAGGCCGGCATCTCCCGTCTGCAGTGTCAGGTTGGTGCCCGCCTGCCCGGTGAAACAGTCACACCGTGACTGGTAGTCCTTTTTTAAAAAAGAACATAGATCCACACATGTGCGTGCATGCAGCGGCTTTCACCCTCGAAAGCCCTTGAAGCGAGGTGGATGACAGCTCCTCCTCCGAGCCCCTGGACCACTCTGCCGCTAATGGACTGTCAGCCTCCTTCATTACGGCTCCAGACGGCACAGGCTGGTGTAAAGCAGTGCCTCTGGCAAGGACCTGGCGCTTGGGTCTCAGCCAGTTGACATTTATGATTTGCCCTTCTTCAAATGGGGACAGCCCTCCCACTGCGAGTGGCTGAGCCGGGATGCCAAATAGCCGTATAACCCAGGTCACGGCCCTCTCCTGGAGAGGCAGCAAGGGCCAAGTGGGGTTCTTTGGGGGGGGCCTGCAGAAGGCTTCCCGGGATGAGGGAGCAGCTGTGACAGCAGGCCACAGACTCCTGTGGAGCCCTTGGCCTGCCTCAAAGGTGGGGGGCTCTGGGAGTGTCTGGAAGGTCTTGAGGACAGCGAGGGTCTTGGTCACTTGCTCTCAACCAGCCGTGTGGATCCAGGACACTGGTTGGGGTGCTACTATGATGTCATAGGGCCAGAGAGGCTGTCTGCTGTGTAATGCGACTCAGGGGCACCTCAAGTCCTCACTCACACTCCTTCTGTATCCTCGTCCCTCTCTCCCCCACCCTGCCTCAGGACTGCCCCGCTGGGGTTCCATGGGTCCAACCAGGAAGCCGCAGCACGGCGGGTGTTACACTGCTCTGCTTGTTACCCTCCTCAGCAGGTGACAGGACTAGAGAGCGAGGATTATACAGTAACCCCCTTAGCCATGGGGATCACTCCATGATTTCCAGTGGATGCCTGAAAACGAGTTTAGTACACAGCCCTATCTTATATTTTTCTCTAACAGACAGACCTGTGATAAAGTTTAATCTATGGATTAGGCTCTGTAAGAGACACATGGTGTTTGGGCTCAGTGAGCAGATGCTGACACATGTCAACTACAGAGCAGGAGGGTGGAGATGGATGTTGGATGGAGCTAATCAGGAAGGCTTCCAGGAAGAGGTGACAGTGAGCAGTGATCAAGGCTTCTAGGAAGAAGTGGCCACAGAGGCGAGTGTTTTCTTGGAAGTTAAGGTGTGGGTGGACAGCTGTCCCCAGTTCCCCCATCTGCAGCAAGTCCCCTGGTCACTGCTGGAATGTGGGCGAAGCTTCCTTTAATCAACTTCTATGGCCACACAGCCAGGCACCGGGCTGAAGCAGGTGTGCCGAGAGCCGCAGCACCACAGCCAAGGTCAATGCTGGAGAATGAGAAGCTCCGACACCTCCTCACTGAGCAACAAACAGGAGGGGAGGGTGGGGCATCTAATCAGCCAAGGCTGCCAATACCTAATCAAGATGAATGGCCTGGAGAGTCGAGTCTAGGAAATCATCAGGGCAGGCGGGGGAAGCGCTGAGCGGCACTGAGGTCAGGGGAGGCCAGGCGACGAGGAGACAGGTTCAGGGGAGATGCTGAGGGCGCCAGAGGTCACGCCTGTCACCAAACAGCTGACCCTTCCCTGGCCGGCATGGGCATCTTTCCTAGCCTGCGTGGGACCAGCTGTGTCTCTGCGCTCAAGATAAACGAAGCACCCCTGCCCCTTCAGGACTCGCAGTGAGCGGTGGGGCGCCAGCGCACACCCCTAAGTTATTCTCATGCCCTCCCGGGTGTTGTGATGGAGGCACAGAGGGCTGCGGGAGAACGAGGGGGCCGAAGATGAATTTCTCCACGCCCTGCAGTTCCAGACCCCAATTCACCTGCCTGCGCGCTGCGGCCTCTCTGGCGCCACCTGTCGGTCACTGTGCGCCGCCACCCCTCACGGTGCCCTGAGCGGGTATGACCTGCCAGCCCTCGCCGGCCAGGGTGTGATGCTGAGCCCCCCACACCTGGAAGAGACAAAGACACACTTCACGTCACTCGCGAGGCTTGGCTGGTGAAGTGCGAAGAGCTTGGGCTCCGGAGTCCGGCGGCGCTGGGTGTAGTCCACGCTGTCCCTCACCCAGGGGCTGTGAGCGCCCACGCCTTCTCTGCAAGGGGTCAGCAGTTGCCGGGAGTAGATAGATATGGCCCTATTGCCCCTGGGTAC